TGTTTTCCTATTGCATTGGAATGATGTCATCTTTTCCTCTTATAAGAATGTTTTGTTATTATTCCGCAACCAGCATAGTGTTTACGTTTTTGTATCAGATAACGTTTTTTGCAGGGTGCATGGCATTGTCAGGACGGAGTGAAGAGAAACAACGACAAAAAGCATTTCGTTATAATTTAGGTAATGTTCTTCGATTTTTTAAAAAATATATATTGATATATACACAGACTTTTTTTATAAGTAAATGCTATACGAGATTGCACAAACTGGTATCAGGTGACTGCTGGCAAAATATGAAGGGTAAGTGTATAATGTATTGAATACATGGTGCATTATTTCAGAAAATTTAATATATTATTGAAGTACGAGTTATCGCAGGGTAGCTTAATTTTAATATAAGTATAAATCTTTATTTCAGAGTTAAGCGTTAAACTTTCCTTTTTTTATTATATAAAGCTGCACTAGTTATTAGAGTACAGCTCTTTACAACTCACGTTTACTTTTTGACCAACGACGTCGTAGCATAAAAACTCTAAGTGAACATTAAACGCAGTGAAAAGTATTAACCTTGCGTGACTCGCTGAGAGGGAGTCATTTTTACTTTTCTTTCTGACTGTACATTCTCCTTATTCGTTTCCTCACTTTCTCCTTCTTCAATGATAACTTTGTTTTATTTTGCTGACATAACGGCCTTTTAATAAAATAAAATGAAATATATGGTACAAAACTTTTTTAAGTAAATGGCGTTTTTGAATAAGCATATTTTTTATGTGATATTATGAAATGTCTAAGCAGTTTTTATTTACTTGTTTTGCTGATATCTCTTATTCATCAATTATTTCCTAGTGATTAGTATTACATAAATTGATTTATAAATTAATAAACATCGTTCTGAAATTTTTCTCAAATCAATAATGCTGTATATAAATTCTAAGTGGTTAACTTTATTTTCAGAAGATATCGAATATTCTACTACAGAAGAAGAAACGTCTACTGATGAGCCAACAATGGCGTTCTTTCGGGACAAGTTGGGGAAAATTCTATGTATTAGTACAATGAAGATAATAGTTATCATAGTTTACTTTCTGAATTTATTATTTGGAATATGGGGAGCCTTAACTATAACACACGGTGTTGATTACACTAAGCTATATCCACAAAAATCGGTAATAACACAAGGTATAAAATTATATTATAATAGTTTCGGCCGTTATACGTTTCCGTACCAAATAGTCATTAATAGTACACTTGATTATTCAGATTTAAATGTACAGAGGACCATAGATGAATTAGTTAAAAAATTCGAAAGTCTCCCACACATTGCAGATTCTCGATTTACGGTTTCTTGGTTAAAATATTACAAAAAATTCCAAAATCATTCGCTAGCAAAATATTCATTACGAGGATATAATATGTCGGTTAAAGAGGATTTCTTGGATGGGCTTCGCAATGTTTTTCTGAAATTTAAATCAGCAGAACAATTCACCAATGATATCGCATTCAATTCTGACGGATCCGATATTTTAAGTAGCAGATTTCACATTTTTGTAAATGATACGTTAGGTGCAGAAGATGAAATAGAAATGTTAAAAAATCTGTGGAAAATTGCTGACGACTTTGATTTTCCTGTTCTCGTTTACGCAGCATTAACTCCTCTGTACGAACAAGGAATTATAATTGGACGCACAATTAGAGATTTACTTTGGATCACTTCACTATTGGTTATGATTTTGTTTATAGTTACCCTACCGAACATTGTCGTTGCTTTTCTCGTAGCAATATCGGTAACATCCACCATTGTAGAAACTTTAGGATACATGTCTCTTTGGGGTATAAACATGGATATTTTTTCAATGATGAGCCTGATATTATGTGTCGGATTCTGCGTCAATTATCCGGCTCACATGTCTTACGCTTATATTTGTTCTTTGTATCAAACCCCCAATGAAAGAATGAAAGACAGTCTGTATCGTATCGGCTATCCAATATTTCAGGGATCTCTGTCAACCATTTTAGGAATTTTATTTGTATACAGAGATATGTACGCTTTTATTATATTTGTGAAAGTAGTATTTCTTATCGCAATAGAAACTGCATTTCATGCATTAATGTTTATTCCTGTTGTTTTTTCTTTGATCTCTCCATTTTTTTTAATCAAAGGTAATAATGAAATATAGACTTGGGAAAATGTCTCTGAAAAATTTAGTTTTAATTATAAAATAAACTATACCAGATTTTATAAAACGAAATTTTCCAATATATTATTTTATACAGTGTAAATTAAATAGAAAAATTTAATGTTATAGTTGTACCAGTTGTTAGTTTTCGAGATCTGTCACAATATAGTATATTGTTTCTTAATTAATTTACATTGATATATCCCGAAATTTTAACGTATTTTGATTTCATTATATACGGATAAAATGTTAATATTTTTTTATTTTACTGTAATTAATCTCGTTATTATTAATCCAATAGAAATGTACTGTACATTTAGATACAATAATTGATTTTCATTTAAATTTTATATTTTTTATGATTTGTTTGCAGTAATAATTTTCATAGTTATACTTTGTTTTGACCTGATGTATTAATACTATTTTTAACCTAATAAATTGATATTATTTTAGCAACATTTAAATTTTTAATTGTATTAATAAGTTTGCACATGAGACATTTCACATTGTATCTAACATTTACCACGCAAATTCCTCTTGTATTCCTGCAGTTTCGCTTATATTCACCTCAGAAATAGGTTTGTTTTTTATATTATTAGTATAATTTTTTGTTTTCTTGCTCCTATAAATATAAGAATATAAAAATGATTTGCAAGCAGCAATTGATTTCAAGTTTTTTTACTTTTTCATGCTTACCAGACATTAAAACATCAAAAAACTTTTGAAAATTTTTACTTTATGTATAGACTTCTTTGTGTGCGAAGTTCAATGATTTTCTTAAGCTTAGTATTTGCTGTGCTTCCTGCTGAATATTTGTGAAATTATGAAGACAGGATTTTGTATTATAAGAATTGATGATATAATATTTTGTTGTTTAACTCACTGCGAAGTGCTCGGCCTTACTCTCGCGAAGTGATGCGCGCGGGGGAATATAGTCTCTCTGTTTTAAAATTTAATTTTTCAAAAGTCATAGTTATTTTCGCGATTTTTTCATTTTGGATGTTTGTGGGCATGTGTTTTTGATGTATTAGTTAAGAAAACTACCTTAAATATATCGTTATTATTTATCCCTAACGAAAAACAGAAAGTTTCCTGGTTTTAGGAATTTTTCAAAAAAAAATTGTCAACTTCAAAAGTGTATCTTACAAACTGTAAACAAGTCCGATGCTATCTGAGCACTCAATCGTCTTCATGTATGCGTTTTTTAACTGTCACAACAATTAAATTCTTTGTACCAAACCCCGGGCCAAAAATATCTCAGTACAGATAACTCTTGTATAACACGGTAGTTACGTTCCAAAAAATTGCCGTGTTATGCGAATCCGTGTTATACGAATCAAAGAACTAGTACGAAAAGGAGGGTTAAGTTTCGAAAATTAAAAAACATGCTACTATATTTTCATAATTAAGTTAAATATCTTTATTAAAATTTTCTTAAGTGATACATATTAATATAAATTAAACAATGTTTTCTTTGTCATCACTAAAAACACTATTAACCGAAGAGCGTTTCATTTTTGGCAAGTTATCGTTATTCTCTGAGCATTTTTCTGCATTATTTTCAGATTCATGCTTTACCTTTTGCAAAAAGTGTATGTAATTTTAGATTGCTTGCTTCTAGTTAAAAGGTCTTTATAAATTTCCTTATATGGTGCTAAGCACTTATGGTATAAGGGAAAAACATTTGGCAACACCAGAAGCAGAAGCGTTGAGATATGGCAAAATTGAAACAATTTTCGCGAAGGACCATGTGTATGGAGACGAGAAAGAAAATTTACACACTGAAGTACTAATAGTTCATGAAAATAATAATTTTCATGAACTATTAGCACTTAAGTATGTAAAAATTTATTACATTTCATGTTGTACGAGGGTTTTACCCATTTCTCGAATCGTGTCAGAGTGAATCCGTGCTATAAAAGTACCGTGTTATACGGGGGATGGTACCAATTCTCGAATCGTGTTAGAGTGAATCCGTGCTATAAAAGTACCGTGTTATACGGGGAATAATACCAATTCTCGAACCGTGTTAAAGTTAATCCGTGCTATAGAAGTGCCGTGTTATACGGCGGTTACCTGTATAAGATTAGCCATAATAATGTTATCAGAAAGATGACAAATTTCTAACTTACCAAGTTTCCGAGAAACCATTAAAAACAAGACTCCAGACGGTCTTCCAGGTCCCTCAAGTTTATGAGCTAATATTTCAGTAAAATAAAATTGTGAATCCAATGATGTAAGAAAGGTTTTAACCGAAAATGTCATCCATGATTCAGTTATACCAACGATATGATATGATAATACAAAATCAACAAAACTCTTATCTGAAAAGTTATCAAAGAATGAACCTTGACTATTCCATAACAATACCTTTAACGTATAAGAAACCCATGAATAAGAAGGAATAACAATTGAACTTTTTAATTCTCGTCCATTTGACGATCCAACGACTTCCCTGGTGATAAAAAAGGATCGATTTTTATCAGCTTATTATTTATTAAATCAAACGTAACTTTTCTCTATTTATTGTTAAACAATCAGCTCTCATATACGCATCTTTTCCAGTCTTTTTAGCCTCTTGTTAAAAAAGATAAAGATTTTTTCTTGTAACTTTCGATCTCCAATATAAATCATCAAAAAACTTTACCCTAGAGCAGGGGTGGCGAACCTATGGCACGCGTGCCCAAAGTGGCACGTAAGTAGAAATCATCTGGCACGTAATATATCATGAGATTTCTATTTTTTTCAATTATCTTTTCGCTTTATCACAAGATCATTCTTTTTCAATCAGCTTTTTTACATTTATTCTAATTAAAGCGTATTCGTTTAATTTCTTTAAATATAGTTATTCGAAGTCTGAAACTTTGGCACGCATAAACCTCTTTAAAGCTAAGTATGCTTACAATATGGCACGCGAACACAAAAAGGTTTGCCATCTCTGCCCTGGAGCATCCTTCCCTCCTCTGAATATTATGAAGATTCCAATAAATAAGTTTTTTTATCGGAGACAATATCAAGTTTAGCCACCACCAATTTGTTTTTGAGATTATTTTAAGATCTTTCACCAAAATTGAGTCGCCACTAGGTCTTTTAATAGATGTTAAAATATCGGAAGCCAAGGAGAAAACTTCAGATAAGTTTTTTTCTAATCCAGCAATAACAATATTATTTTTCTGACGTTCATTTATCGATGAATCCAAAAGATATAAGAAATAGGAGATCAAAGCAAAAGATGACGTAAGTAGTAGTGGTTTGACACATGCTGATCACAAAATTAATTTCATGAGTAAATTTCAAATAAAAATTTGTTGAATGGAATTATTTCAGATCACAAAATTAATTTTTTGAATAAATTACTATCGAATAAATTNAATTAAGAAAAAGTTTAAAGAATATTAAACTCCAAGAAAACGAACCTCTGATTGTAATTCCTTAATATATTTTTTTTTTCATGTGATAGAGATAAACCTTACAAAATAATTGCCGAATTCTTATGTCTAACTGTTAATTTTTTAATTAACCTACATCACAATTGTAATTGATAGATTGAATGTAATTGTTTTGTAAATCTGATTGCCAATTCCAAAATGATTTTTTCTGCTTAGAGACATTAGCTGGTGCTCAAGATATTTACAGGAATGCACAAATGTTCCTCTTGCTTTTCATTATACGTATTCTTAAATGTTTCATTGTTCAATTTGACTTTTACCTGTTCCTTCTTTGAAATAATTTGGTTTATTGCTTGCTTTGTTCTTAGATATTAGAAATTATTCATGTGCTTGGTTTATACTCAATTTGTGTGAGAATACGGGCGAGTGTTAGGGAGGGCTTAATAATTTTCGAGTGGAGAAATCGCGGGGAAGTACTAATTGTAGGCCGTTTAGTGTCCATATTTAACCGGGTGAACAGACAGATTAACAAATAACAAACAAAGGTTTAATGAATAAAATAAAGAAATACGTAAGGGAATAATTTATCGTTATATCGACGCTAACTACATACATTTCTGAACAGGGAGAGAGAGTTTACAAAAAGTTCTAATCACTGTATAATAAGTTTGGGCTCATTGATTCGTTTTAGTTGATTTAATCGAAATGATATGTGGTGATGTTTTTCTTATATGGAGACAGAGGAGAACTGTACAGTAGTGTTCAATATCTGACCGCTTCGGCTATTCCGGAATCTTTTTCTTTGACTTTGTACTGGATTCATATGGAGTTTATTGTTATTCGTTTTTACTCCGAAAGACTAATTGGTAATAGCTATGCGACCTAAAAACCGACCTTATAGAATGGCTTAATCGCGCGCGGGGGAAAGAGTGCGTTTCCGGGAGAACTTTTGCGAGAAGATGGCCCCTATTCAGGCAATCATGGACATGGAAAAAACCCGGAAAAACTTTCATGCTGCCAGCTCGTTCGATCACGGCGCGAACCTACGACCTAATTCTTAGTGTTTAGGAGCTGGTCTTTGCCGATGAACGAAAACAGTGTCCACTCGATGCGTGAAATTTTTCATAGCTTTCCCCCTTTTATTTCGCTTTTTTCTCGGGTCGTCTCTCTCTATGGCAGTCCCGGATTCTCGTCGGCTTCTCTAAAAATACGATTTCTCTGCCTTTTATTCTAAATTCCACTCCAATCGGGTGTTATGATTTGTATCATCTGACGGAATATTACTTCTGACGCGAATGTTCGTTGGAGATGTATGATAAAATCTCTACCAAAGGAAGTTTTATTACGTTCTTACAGAAAACGGACAAAATATGTAAGTTTTGATGTTAAAATGTTACTTTCATTTACTAATTGATTTAAATGAAACTTATGATTCTCACACTTGCAGACAACAGTTTTACTCGCTAATTTTTCGTTTTTTCTTCGCTTTCTTACTTGTCTGCTGTTTTTTATGTTCTTTCTTCCTTTTTCCATAGAGGAAATTAACTAGTGACTTAAAAGTTGCTTGAAAATATCAAACGAAAACGAATTTTTAACTGTCCAAAAGCAAAAGTTTTTATCTAGAAAACAGTTTATGAAAATGAATCTCTGGAGTTTTTGTTAAAGTTCATTGGTAACATTTATCGATGCTTTTTCAATAGGCAGTTAAATTTATTTTTAAGCCTTTAAATATTGTTACTATTTATTCGATAAATAACAGAACATAGCTTCTGTTGAACAAAGTCTCGTATTTATATATTCGTGTGACCACAGAGTCGGCACCTCTTTGATGCCACGTCAAAACAGACACTACCGTGCCTTAACGGACACGGAAATCGCGTTAGCCGTTAGTAGTTCGTTCACGTGCAAGCGGTCGCGAATGCAGATTCTTTGACTCGGAATGGAGACAAATCGAAACAACTGAAAAAGTTGCACTCCACAAACTTATTATTTAACAAATACCCGTTTTTTTATCAACACTATTTACAAGTTTATAGAATATTTGTTAAGATGCTTAACTTATCTTCTAAATTTATAACACAATAGACTGGGAAAGGGTGTAATTTTATCATTAATATCGTAACTCTGACCGCGCGAGAAAGAGTTCTTAATCGTTCGCGTGTTGATAAATATTTTAATTATTAGAAGTTGGTCCCTGTTCGTTTGAATCACAAAATCGTATCGAAGTACTCTTGATCCGCAAGGTTAGAGCGAAGCTTCGATGATTCCAAAAGGATGAAAGTTTTTTCTTCTTGAGAGGGCAAAGGGTGGCCACAGCTGGAGCAGTTTTCACAGGGATCGGCGAGCACACCAGTTCAAAACTATCGATGACCGCGAACTCCGATTATCATCGACCCCCTCCTTATAATTTTGGTGTCTTTCATGTGTTTTTTCCATGACCTTATTTGAAATTATTATACATTAGGCCAATGGTTGAATTTTGATTGTTGGTTCTAGGTGACACATTAGAAAGACGTGTCACCATTGAAAGGAAGTGAATCCGGAGAAAGATACGATCATATCCTTCCAGTTTTTATTAAGTGTTGGGGGAAAAAATAGAATTTTATTTTCACGAGTTTAAGCGTTATTTCGTTTTATTTTATAAACGACTGTGAAATTTTATAGAAAAAGTTTACTTAATCCGGGATCAACATTAGTCTCAACTTCATATTTCGGTTCAGATGTGGAATTACGTTTAAATAAGTTATTATACACCACAGATTTGTATTAATTTTGACAAGCTTCTAGTAGTATCATTTAAATTGATCTATAATTAGAGTTATTTAGAGTTATTATAATTTTTAAATAATACATTTGAAACATTGATCACTTGTCATGTATTATTAGCGATAATATGTTTCCACATTTCCGTCTCTAGAGTTTTATTAAATCTCTCAAAAACTGAACATTATCTATTTCTGCTATTATTAAATAAGTTTCTTTATATATCAGAGCATTAAAATATATTCTCCATCTTAACATATTAAGTATAGTATCCGGAATCATAATATTAGTTATATCTATTACTAGCTTTACTGTTCCATTCCATTATGTCATGTAAAAATCAATATCCAAATAGTTAGTGTAAGTTTAATATTTTTTTTTCAAATTCGCTCTATCCTTTCACTTTCAATTTTTATATATTTTCTTTTTTATATTCTTATTTTCAATAGACGTATTTTTCTCTTTTTGTATCAAATCGCTGACTGTAAAGTATGTCACTCTATTCTGCATGCATCATGATGATGGATACAGCATTTGAACGACTTTGGTTAACGTAAAGTTCTTCTTGTGTAATTTTTCGCAGAAAGCACGTAAAGTAATTAATGTGGATTTACTTCTTCCATGTTTTCAACTTCTGGTCTCCTGTTTCATCTATGTAACTTTTTTCGACACTGACAAATTACAGACCAATGATTTTTCTATAAACGCAATATTTATACGCGTAAATACTTTTCATGTGGTTTATACAATGTGTTGCAAAAACATAAACACTTTCTTATAACTTAAACAGTTATTTTGAAATAGTATTTTATAACATCACAGTCAGATTAATTAACGAATTGTTACTTAATTGTATCTAATTAATTTATTTTATTATAATATTCGAATTTTAAGTGAATCTTATTGGCTCGTTTCAATATTTGAACAGGTTTCGTTATTACACTATTATATATAATCAATATGTCATCGAACATGCCTTGCAAAAAATATAATACCCTGTAGGGTTAATAAGGTTTTGTCCATATGTAACATAGGTTTCGGCTAATTTTCTCCAATTTCTGAACCTATAAAAATGCCATCGCTTTGGTGATAAAAGTTCTCGTTTACTGTAAAACAATTGAAAACTCATCATAAACGAAATCTACGAAAACGATAGTAAATTGCTTTAACTTTTAAACTACATAAAAGCATGTTTATCAAGATTTTCCCATACTGTCGAATTCGATAAAAATAATATACTTCAAATACAATAAAAATTATTCTGATTATATGACGACGACATTCATCATCAAACAGAACACTAAAACTGAGGTTAGGTAAACCATTGTGCGTAACTTTACATTCAGAAAACTTTAATATAGTCACTTTTAACAATGAATTGTAATCAATTATGTAATATAATTTATCTGAAATATGTTCTATCTTTTTATAGGGTAAATAGTATCTTCTCTGAATCAAAATAAAAAGATGAAACTTGACTGTGTAAAGAATCGATTATCGATCGTTTTTCGAAGATTAGGAAGATTGATCGGACTTCATCCTTACTACTTTATTTTTCTTCCGGTTTTAATAACAGCGACATTCTCAGCATTCATCTTCAATACAAACACTATCAGAAACGCAGTAAGCCTGACATTTGCAGATTCGGGAAAAGTTTATAATACTAAGAAGTTCATTGAAAAAACATTTCCGTACAATACGTCAAAATCTTTTGATCCGACGAGATTTACAAACTTATCGAACTGTGTGTTTTTGATTTTTACACGAAATGGTGGTGGAGACATGCTCGAAAAAAACGTGCTGCTAGAAATAAGTTCGGTGGATCAACTAATTAAAAATATAACAATTAATCATGAAGGTATACAAATTGGATATTCAGATATTTGTGCACGTGTACGCCAAAGATGTTTTGAAAATCCGATTATCGAAATATTGCCCGAAATTGATAATATCGTGCAGCGAAAAAAGAAATTGAAGTATCCGGTCGACATAGATCCGTTGACATACTCTTATCAAATTTACGCTCTTAACTTTGGGGGTGTGAACGAAGATGAGAACGATTTCATTCAGACAGTAAATGCTACGAGATTAGTTTATTTCACTGACAACAGCAACAAGAATAAACACAATATGATTAAAAGATGGCGAACAGAAGTATATAATCGAATAAGTAATCATCAATTTAAACATCTTATTTGTTTCATTGATAACTACTGGTCAATAGAACAGCAAAATGTGCACTTAGTGGAAAATATTAAACCTATGATTGGTGCTTTAATTGCATTTATATCTGTTTTCACTGCTGTTATGTGCATGAGCAACAATTGGGCAAAAAGCAAGCCTTTTCTGGGTATGGCAAGTATGGTATCGGCTGGTCTGGCCGTGGTCTCTTCTTTCGGATTCATGTCTGTTGTCGGTGTACCGAATAGTATTTGGAACATCACCATACCGTTTTTAGTTCTCGGTAAGTATTTACTCGCGCTTTTATATTTGTTTACTTTTTGATTATGAATTCTTCAATTAATAAAGATTTTCTGATGTAGTGACAGAGATCGACGATGCCTTCGTATTATTGGCGTGTTGGAGAATATCAAACCCCAAGCAAAAAGTACACAAACGCATGGAAGAAACATTTGGTGAAGCAGGAATTTCTATAACGTTAACATCGTTGACTAATTTGTTTTCCTATTGCATTGGAATGATGTCATCTTTTCCTCTTATAAGAATGTTTTGTTATTATTCCGCAACCAGCATAGTGTTTACGTTTTTGTATCAGATAACGTTTTTTGCAGGGTGCATGGCATTGTCAGGACGGAGTGAAGAGAAACAACGACAAAAAGCATTTCGTTATAATTTAGGTAATGTTCTTCGATTTTTTAAAAAATATATATTGATATATACACAGACTTTTTTTATAAGTAAATGCTATACGAGATTGCACAAACTGGTATCAGGTGACTGCTGGCAAAATATGAAGGGTAAGTGTATAATGTATTGAATACATGGTGCATTATTTCAGAAAATTTAATATATTATTGAAGTACGAGTTATCGCAGGGTAGCTTAATTTTAATATAAGTATAAATCTTTATTTCAGAGTTAAGCGTTAAACTTTCCTTTTTTTATTATATAAAGCTGCACTAGTTATTAGAGTACAGCTCTTTACAACTCACGTTTACTTTTTGACCAACGACGTCGTAGCATAAAAACTCTAAGTGAACATTAAACGCAGTGAAAAGTATTAACCTTGCGTGACTCGCTGAGAGGGAGTCATTTTTACTTTTCTTTCTGACTGTACATTCTCCTTATTCGTTTCCTCACTTTCTCCTTCTTCAATGATAACTTTGTTTTATTTTGCTGACATAACGGCCTTTTAATAAAATAAAATGAAATATATGGTACAAAACTTTTTTAAGTAAATGGCGTTTTTGAATAAGCATATTTTTTATGTGATATTATGAAATGTCTAAGCAGTTTTTATTTACTTGTTTTGCTGATATCTCTTATTCATCAATTATTTGCTAATAATTAGTATTACATAAATTGATTTATAAATTAATAAACATCGTTCTGAAATTTTTCTCAAATCAATAATGCTGTATATAAATTCTAAGTGGTTAACTTTATTTTCAGAAGATATCGAATATTCTACTACAGAAGAAGAAACGTCTACTGATGAGCCAACAATGGCGTTCTTTCGGGACAAGTTGGGGAAAATTCTATGTATTAGTACAATGAAGATAATAGTTATCATAGTTTACTTTCTGAATTTATTATTTGGAATATGGGGAGCCTTAACTATAACACACGGTGTTGATTACACTAAGCTATATCCACAAAAATCGGTAATAACACAAGGTATAAAATTATATTATAATAGTTTCGGCCGTTATACGTTTCCGTACCAAATAGTCATTAATAGTACACTTGATTATTCAGATTTAAATGTACAGAGGACCATAGATGAATTAGTTAAAAAATTCGAAAGTCTCCCACACATTGCAGATTCTCGATTTACGGTTTCTTGGTTAAAATATTACAAAAAATTCCAAAATCATTCGCTAGCAAAATATTCATTACGAGGATATAATATGTCGGTTAAAGAGGATTTCTTGGATGGGCTTCGCAATGTTTTTCTGAAATTTAAATCAGCAGAACAATTCACCAATGATATCGCATTCAATTCTGACGGATCCGATATTTTAAGTAGCAGATTTCACATTTTTGTAAATGATACGTTAGGTGCAGAAGATGAAATAGAAATGTTAAAAAATCTGTGGAAAATTGCTGACGACTTTGATTTTCCTGTTCTCGTTTACGCAGCATTAACTCCTCTGTACGAACAAGGAATTATAATTGGACGCACAATTAGAGATTTACTTTGGATCACTTCACTATTGGTTATGATTTTGTTTATAGTTACCCTACCGAACATTGTCGTTGCTTTTCTCGTTGCAATATCGGTAACATCTACCATTGTAGAAACTTTAGGATACATGTCTCTTTGGGGTATAAACATGGATATTTTTTCAATGATGAGCCTGATTTTATGTGTCGGGTTCTGCGTCAATTATCCGGCTCACATGTCTTACGCTTATATTTGTTCTTTGTATCAAACCCCCAATGAAAGGATGAAAGACAGTCTGTATCGTATCGGCTATCCAATATTTCAGGGATCTCTGTCAACCATTTTAGGAATTTTATTTGTATACAGAGATATGTACGCTTTTATTATATTTGTGAAAGTAGTATTTCTTATCGCAATAGAAACTGC